GTAATGGTGGATGGCGTGATGTATATCAGGACCGCAGATATCGCCATTTGCATAGATGTCCAAATACTTATTAGTACGCTCTTCATAGATTCAAAAAAGTCAAATTGGTATTTAAGTTCTGACCACATGTTCAACAATTGCTCAGTAACATTTTACAGAATAAGTGTTATTCTGGCATTAAAAGTATCAATATCAGTAACTAGTATAACAAAAACTCAATGATATTGCTATTTTTCTTGTGTTTGCAATTAGAATCATATATCTCTTCTAAATTTAATAGTAATGTCACGTAATAAAAACTCTGCTGCTGATTTTCCATTTGAAAATATAGCAGCTACATGGGTATCGTATTTCAGTAAAATTACTGCCTTTTTGGAAAACAAACCCTGTATTATGCTTTGTTAGATTAGAATCATAGTTTTCCTTTTCAATATAACTTAACAAAATTTAACCATGTTGTTGCCGCTGTGGATTTTGATGCACTTTATTCTGTTAGCAATATCATTTTAAAACCTCTCATTACTGGAAATTATATCCTAAAACAAAGATTGATTGCATTACATTCTCAAAGTGAAGCTTTGAAAATTCATATCCTCATCAAGGTCTTCAGCTTGATGACCAGCACCCTTCTCAGATGTTGACTAATACACTGACACTTTAGCAGGTAATAACGTATGTGAACTCTTGTTAAAATCTTTGTGGCTTGCAAGGGTCCCCAATAATACACAACCTATTTTGTCTGCTCTCATTGAAGATAATTTGAGTAAATTGACTACAGTCACCGATAAAGTTACTGAGCTCACATCTCACTCTTATGTGAATGCGGCTATTTTGACCCTAGAGCCAAGTGAATATGCTACAACTTGTTTGAAACTTCAGGTTGTGCAACTGCCAGAGCAAGTTGTTGAGTTAACCTCTGTCTATGTCTAATTCTTGCAGTCCTAAGTGAAATTTCTGTCATGCATGTAATTGACATTTTGTCAAAATTAAGGTATTTATTTGATACTGGGGCAGATGTGTTGGTATTACCAAAAAGCATACTCAGCTTTCTAGGCTGTCTCATGATTTGTTCTTGTTGGTCGCGAATGGACCTATGATTCCCACATTTGGCGCTAAACGTTTTGCTTTGGATTTAAATTTACTTTGCACTTTTACTTGGTTACTTTATATATAGAGAGAGAGAGAGGGAGAGAGCACATATAGAAAAATCTTATTCCATTGAAAATAAAATATTTACAATGTAAGCATCCTAAAAACAACAACAACCACAAAAAAAAAAAAAATGCCTAAGAACACTAAATTTCTGAAGCATGCAGAAGTACTGGATGTTTCTTTGAGTAGGATGATGTTGACTGATTGGAAGCTGAATTTGCAGCGTACTAGTTCACTGATAAGAAATTCTTGCTGCTTCTCAAGTTGATAGTATGGCACAGCATTTCAAGATTGCAAAATGAAAATAGATTGTACAAATTTGGAAAGCTCGGGAAATAATGTTGAATAATTTATTAATATTAAACTCTGCAGCAACTGAAATGATTTTCAAAACTGTGCTCAAACTCAGTTCAGATTCAGTTTGTCTTTTGACTATTGAATGCACTTCTTTTGTTGAAAGTGAAATCATTTACTTACAATATTGCTTGTTTCTAGAATAACTTAAGCTTTCAAGCTTTGAAGCAGAAAATGCAAAACCAAGGTGACCTCATCAGATCAGGGACATCAACATGGAGAAATGCATGCAAATTATTTTTTATTTATTTATTTATTTATTTATTTTTGTGCAAAATTATAAGTATCGTTTCTTTTATGTAGTGTAATATCCAGTTTATGCTGTTGAATCCCTTTCTTCAAATCTAGGGGAACACTTGAGTGTTGAGATCATAGTTAAATATTATTGATAGCCTTTTTCAAGGGTTGGCATTCCTGCAACATATATTTAATTGAAACCTTGCAAATAAAACACTAAAATATGAAATGTACATTTTTGCTTAAATAATTTTGCATGGAAAATGTTGACTTGTAAGGTTATATCACAAAAATACTTTATGCATGAAGTATTTGATTCTGACCTTGTCTCAAGTATTCTGCCTTTCTTAGCATTATTGCTTTCGTGCAATTGAATCTAGGAACACTTATATTTGAAATGCTTGTCAGCAATTGTAAATAGTCTGTGACATTTGTTTAAAATAGGAACAACTATTGTTTTTAACAAACAATATTTTTAATGCAGTCAACTTTTTTTTAGTGCATTAAAAGTGTTTTGTGCCAAAAATAATAATAATAATCATTTGCAGGAAGTTTACTTTATTATTGTTATTTGTGAAGAAACCTGCAGCAGAAGCATACCATTTGCTGTTCAAAACTTAAGGTGGGGATTTTTTGTGGACTATGAAATGGCTTTGATGGTTTAAACTAATGACTTCAAAACATGGTAAAAACTGAGGGGAAAAAATTTAAGGTGAATTGAAAGCACTAATAACTGAAGATTCTTGCCAAGTAGGATTAGAATTGGTTGCTGCTTTAAATATTACTCAGTCATGTATTTTTCAATGTCTCCATGTGAATTGAAAGATGGGACATTGCATATTGGAAAACCATATGTGAATTGCTGTTTATAAGAGAGAATTTTTTTTACGTAAAATTCTTTCTCAAGGTCAAAAATGGACTCACAAAATAAAAGATTAAAGGATAGGTGCATCCAGGTGAGGCAGGTCCTACAGCGCCTAAACAGAATATTCATGGAAGTAAGATATGTATCTGATTGGACCAAACAATAGAAACAGACATCTACTATGATCTGCTGCCATCAGTTAATCAACATATACAAAGAAGCAGATATGTCCAGAATATGCTGAAAGATTCAAGGTTATTTATCAGCATGGCGATTATCTGTTACATATTTCAAGACCAGTCAAGAAACCTAGAATTATTTGTTCTGATTTGTGAAGATCCTTTCTGAAGAAAACTTTTTTCCTTTCAAGGCTATTAAAAATTGACTTCATGACTTTTGTTTTAAAACAGCTGGACTTCTTCATTCACGGGATCCATTTGCTGCTTGATAAAGGGCAAACGTAGCTTCTGATTAAAAGCACTTCAAATAAATCTTTCTTTTGTTTTGCAAACAAATGTTTTTTATTTATGTTGTAGCTTCTGATTAAAAACACATCAAATAAATCTTTCTTTCGTTTTGCAAACAAATGCTTTTTATTTATTTGAAGAAAGGTAGAGTGATATTTATGCTCCCAACAATGTACATCAGTGACATTTACTATGTTGAAAAATTAGATGGGCAGATGACTCTTACAGGTTATACTTATGGCCTTCCAGTTTTATGAATCCAGTCTTGAAGATATAATATTCGTGGTCAGAACAATACATCGGGTGCCATTTGTAGAGAATGAGCAGTTTTTTTTATGGAAATCGCTGTCGATAAGGAGTTTCAGCAAATGGTAATTGCCTTTCTCAACCTTGTCTCTGCTTTAAGTACTTGAGTACTGTGTATGTTATGTGGAATAATAATGGAAGTTTTTTACTTTAAAAAAAGGTTTTTGGAGAACTACCATAATTTCGCATGTATAGTCCGCACCATCGTATAGTCTGCAGACACAATTAAACGAATCATGCTTTTTTTTTTCGTACTCCAGGTACTTGCTATACTAAGGCTTCTAAAACGCATAAAAACGCGAGCTTGACGCATCAACTTACTTTTCTCCCTCCTGGCTCCTGGCAGTTGCGCTAAAGCAGTGCGAAGGATACTGGGATACAAGACTCTGGTTGCGCTAAGTGAGTGCTCATACAAGACTTTCTCCGGCTCATATCCCGACATCGCTTGATGCGCCAGCCTGGATTTTAGGAGCTCTACTTGCTACTACTCATTCATTCTGCACTATGCTCTATGGTTTACTATCGATACGTACATACGAATGTTTTCTTGGAATCTCGCGCTTTTTTTATATTCGATCATCAGCAGTTCACAACAGCGTGTTTTTTAAATTTCAACGATTTTAACCGGGAACAACCAGCGTATTATCCACACTGGTGGATAGTCCGCAGCTTCAAAAATTCGCATTTTAAACACAGATAGTCCGCGGACTATACGCGCGAAATTACGGTAATTTATTTTTGTGTAAGGCTTTCTGGACTAGCCTAGTAATTTCTATAGTGATGGTAGTGTCCATGTATCTGTAGCTAATATTCATTTACTTCAACACCCATCATAGTTATGTTAAATGCACATAATTAAAAAAATATACAGAGGGTTTTGAAAAGAAGCAACAAATTTTACAAAGCTGCAAAAATTTTATTTTCTGCTAGATAAAAATTCTGTCATGTATTGTGTGAAATTAAATTACCATGCTCAGTTTTGTTCATATTCTTATCTAAGTGTAAATGTTTCTCACATTGTATTGGTCAAAGTTTGCAAGGTGTGCTATGTTTTTGGCCTACAAATTCCAAAAGCATGTTGTTGTAATTATTATTGTCCAGGGATTTGTTAAAGATATGTACATTTACTACTGCTGTCCACCACATTACAAAAATTTACATTAATTATTGCTGCAGTATAAAACTTTGTGCTGCTAGGATGTTAGAATGCATGTTACATAGCATTATCTGTTGCTTTAACGTTTGCACTTGATGCAAAATGATTTGTCATATGTGTCATAGCTTCATTTCTTTTCAAGTAATGTAATGTTTATAGCATGTTTGTGTTATAAAAGATAAATTTTGGGAGCAAAGTTTGCTTTTTTTTTTAATGGGCTATATGCAGGATGTTCAATAAAGGTGGCTACATATGTTACTTCCTTACATATTAAATATAGACATGTGCTTCAGAATACAGTTTCTGAAAATAAGGTATGGAATTTTATGAAAGCAGTTTTAACTCTGTAAGTTAATGCTGCAACTTAGTTATTTGAATTATAAATTTTCTGATCATAATTAAATTTAGCATATAAATCAGTCTTTGAATTAATGTGTATTTTGGAATATCTTTTCAGCTCAAAGCGGTGCAGAAACAATGATCAGTCGCAAACGGAAGAAATCACTTTCCGATGGAGCAGGACCATCATCAAAAATTGATTTAATGGAGAAACCACATTTCAGCGGATTATTCCCTTCTGAAAGTACAAGTTCTGTTGTGTCTGAGCCTAAGCAGATGTTTGTTTCTGAGAGTTGTGAAAATTCTTCAGTCGCCAAGGTGCACATTCAAGTTTCTCCATGTGTAAAATCTACGTCATCTGAAACAACTTCAGCAGCAAATACATTGGCAAACAAGTCTGCTCCAAAGGTTTTTTTTTTTTTTCCCCTCTTCTCTTCTCTTTATATTTAAATATTTTTGGCTTGTCCTTTTAGTCATAAGTCAAATAATAAATCTTTGGATGGGTTAGAATTTGTTATGTGACAAGCAGGTTGCTCTTTGAAGGCACATAGCATGATCACCATAAGCTATTAACTGTTAGTTTTCTTCATTTAGTTGCTAGTCAAATGAAGTATTGTAATGCTATTTAAAAAGATATTAATATTTTCATAAGGTGTCACATAAACAATAGTAGGAAAAATATTTATTAAGTCTAGATTTTAATTAGTGTGTAATGGTTCAGTGTCAGTGTTAGACTCGGTGTTCAACTCAGTGTATAGTTCATTAAGGGAAAAAAATGGAAGTTAAAGCAGATAGTTTATATAAACTGTAAATTCAAAATTTTATTTTATCGTGAATAATGGCTTGACTGAATTCACAAGTTTGGTAATAAATAAATATTTTAATAACTCTTTTTGATCCAACAGTAGAAAATTATATTATTCTGTTAAAGTCTCAGATTTTGAGTAAGTGAATGTAAACAATACTTTTTTTAATGTAGAATAATGGGAAACTGTCAGAATTATGTAGTGAACCCAGTCAATGAAGCTTTGGTTTTTCACATAAAGTACAATGTTAGAAATCAGAAATCACCAGGACTTTGATTCTGAATTTCTGAAATTTGGGGATTTTAGACCATTAATTTAAGTCTAGAAAAATTTCTTATGGGAGATATAAAGCTAAAATTATAAAAGGTTGTCAGTGAAATAATGAACCTCTTATGATGTTGGGGAAATGAAAATTTAGAATAAAAGTGCTCAGTATTAGTATTTTTCTCTGTTTCATTTAAAAAATATTTCACCATTAAGTTGTTTAAGTAGTTTTGTTGTGTTTTATGCATTTTTTTTAGTTTTATAGAAACATAATTTCTTGCTCAGTTACAGTGCTTCATTTTTCAAGTTTTATACTGCTGTATTAAAAATTACCATTGAGTTATTGATTGAAATATTTTCATTCTCAGCAAACTCTTTATTCTTTATTTTACACAATCAGTAACAGTGTTGTCAATATATCATCATTTTTTAGAGTAATCGTCATTTTTGTGATTTTCCTTAATTAATGATGAGAGTAGTTTCATGGTTTGAAGTGGAGTTATCAAAAATTACTTCACCTAGCTACATATCTTTGATAAAGTTTCCTTAACTGATTATAAATGTGTATATGAGTTCTTCATATGTAATGCTTAGGGCTGCTATTGGCCCAGATTCTTTTGCTTATGGATGGCATTACTCATCCTTGAGCTTCTCTGGTGTCGGAATACTTGAAAACTGATTTTACTTCAAAGGATTGGCCAGTCAACTCACGAGATTTTAATGTAATAAGATGTCATAGGCTGCTGAGTTACTGCACACCAAATGCACACCCGATTCTCCAGGATCTAAAAATTCCTCTTTCAGAAGGTTGTGTATGGTTCCACTAGACATGATGAACAGTTTGGTAAATTCTGTTTGAATGAGTTGTGTTTAAATGAGCTTTGCATTTCTGTCAGGGATGACAATATGGGTAACTTTTGAATTGCACGACATTTGGTTTGCATTATTTCAGCTTAACACGGCTGAAAAAAGCGAAAAAAAACTTCCATTTACATGGCCTTAAATTTTACTTTAATGAGATCAAGCCAGACGAACATAAAAATTGTATTATTATTTTTAATATTTTGCAATAATACAACCACCAAATGGGTATTAAAAAAACAGACACTTCTCAAAGCTTTTTTAAAAAATGCAGAAAACAAAGAAAAAGATGCACTTTTAAGTGAATATGATATGCAACCATTACAGATCAACTATTCTGATATTACAAGATTGGCACTTAAATAGCATAGAAATAGGAGGAGGAGGATTCAATGATATGGCTTCAAATAAACTTGAAGAACTAAAGGTGGATAATAACTTAATGGTGATGAATTGATAGAACTCACCATTAGTTCCATATCTAGTGAAACTAAAGAACTGGAAAATGTCTTTGTCAAGAATGACCTGAACATGGAAATAAGTTAAAAGTTTGGAAGTTAATAATGTAATTCCTCAGAACCCCTGAAACTGAGCAAATTGGCAGCAGTAATATAATATGCCATCAAGAAATGAAAGTAGATCTGCCATATAATTAACCTTTTGCTGGTCATCCATGAGCTCAGCTTTCATTCCAGTTACGCACTGTAGTGGTTCCAAATGAGCACAACTTGCATTGCAACTTTATGACTTACATATTGCACATATTTGGGAAGAAAGAATTGCTTAATCTTGCAGCCGCCAAGGAGTTAATGTGAAGATGGAGCACATTAAAAGCATCCCCCCTAAATTATGCTGTGTATAGAAATTTGTTCAATTAATGTATTTTTGTTTAAAATTATAGATGTATGTATCTTATCATTAAAAAAAATAAATAATTCTGTTTTAAGTTACATGATTTTAATTTGCACAGCATTTTCAGGGAAACAACCTACTATTTAAATCGAGTGTGATCTGTTTAACATTTTAAAGAAAAGTTCACTAAACAATGGAGGCTATTTTTCTGTTATTTTCGGATTCCATAAATTTAACTTTAAATATTTTAAGATTAATGAACTGACAAGCACAATAACTGATGCTAAATAATGCTATTTTACAAATTGTACATAATCATTTTTCTGTTAATGGGGCATCAGTCATGACTGGGCACCAAAACGCCAAATGTGCTAGCGTGTTTATATCACACAAACTCTGATTGTTGGAAAGTGTTAATATGATTGAATTCGCAGTTGCTGAATATTAACACCTGCAAGTTAACTACAGATTTACTTATTTCATCCCAATACAAGATTAAACTATTGAAATGTTGTGGAGCATTTCAAAATGGTGGAATTAACATCAGTACAGCAATCCTAACTCATTGAGTCAAACTACTAAAACAGTAATTAAACTACCATAATCCTAACTCATTGAATTCATATGATATTTATTGTATGAAAAAACCCAAATGTTTCCAAGAATGATAAATGAAATTTGCATCTTTATGTCTCCTGTGTAATCCAAAATTAATCTAGTAAAATCTTCCTTGTACTCATATGTTTGGTTTTTTTTTTTTTTTTTTTAGTTATTCTGGATTTAATAAAATAGTCATTCTTTTGATGAAGCTATATCTATTGCTAATGTTGCTATCTAGCTGGATTTTGCGCCAGCATTTATGTTTAGTGCAATGTGGCATCCCATTAACAGAAATAAACTCACTTGTCAGTAAATAATACACTGATGTGCCAAAACATTATGACCATCTCCACATTTTTCAAAGAACTCATCTGGGTGACATGGAGGACACATGATTAGGTGGGAATGGTATTAATCTGCTGCTGGAGAAGGTAAGGAATCATTTTTGCACTTACTTTTGTAAGTGACAGAAAAGACTTCTAATCTAAGTGAATCTGATAAAGGGCAGATTTCAGTGGCCTGAAGACCTGAAATGAGTATTTCTGAAACTGCATGACTAGTAGGTTGTTCATGATCTGCCGTTGTTAGAATTTGTGTAGAGTGAATAAATGACGGTGAAACCAGCAGTAGATGCCAAGGTTATGTTGATATATAATAATTATATAATGTAAAGCTTAGTAGCATTCTTAATTATGCACTTTGAACAGAATGGTGGTTAGCAGAGGCTAACTTCTAGATTGAATTGTAGGTGGATTTCAACTCATGTCAGGCTTTACTGTAGGTGTATCTGTTTTTGTATAAGTGTACTTTGGAACTTGGTAATGAAATGGCTAAATGATCTATGAATTCTTCCATTTGCTAACTTAAAAAAATTATTTTTAAGTTTAAATATTATGAAGCACAAGTCGTTCAAATATATTAATATTTTACTTTTTACTGAATAATGTTCACAACCTTTGAATGTGCTTTTTACAAATGAAAGAAAAATGTAAGGAATATATATATACATGAGAAATTAATGTGGAATTGTACCTGTTTTTAACTTGAATATTTTAAACTGAAAATTTAGAAATAATGTCTATGAGCAAATTTTACTTTTAAAAATTAATTTTTAATTCTGGTGTCAGTGTTTGCAGGGTTCGTAGCGGTCCTTACAAGTGCTTATAAGTCCTTATATTTGAAAATAAAATATAAAGGCCCTTATAGGTGCTTACTTTTTCTTTATAAAGCCTTTATTTTTTTGTTCTTAGTGCTTAATTTTTGCTTTTAGTGCTTTTTTTTTTAATCCTTTTTTTTAATGAACGCCCATTTTTTCCCCGTACCAAAGCCGAAACTAAATAAATCACTTTTCTTCCTTATAATGCAACGTCAGATGGTGAATCATACTCCCGGAAACTGCTTCCCCCCCTTTCTGTGCATTATGGTAACCTATGGAGCACGCGAGAGTACAGACAGGTGCACGTCGTTCTATTGGTCAAAGAATTGGGAAAACGGTAGAAAATTCCGGTACATTCGGTATTCTTTTCCTCACACCCAAATACTACACACGTTTGAATTTCTATCAAGATTTTAATAATTTGCATTCTCGTTCCGCTTGGTCAGTTCATATTCGTGTTTATTATGATCGTTATGCTTATATTATGAGCATATGCATGAATATTTATTATAATATAATTGCAGTAACTGTTGAAGTAAAGATAAACTTCCAAAAAGGGGTTTGTTTTTACACAGATTAGCTTTCTAAGGAATAATATTCGGAATGGCTTAAATAAAAGGAAAGTAATCGAATAGTCAAAATAATTTCATTTTTTTTTTTTTTCCAATACATTATACAGTACGTAGGTTGGGAGGTTCTCCCCTTTCTCCACAAAATCTCTAATATTGAAGCAGCGGACTTTTTTTTGTCAATGTCCAATCTGGATTGAATAGGACTAAAAGTTTTTGTGGTCTACCCAACCCAAGCGAAGATTGATTCTATTCCAGAAATTTAACGCAGTCTGTTGAAAATTAGAATCAGAAACACCC